ATGCCCCCTTGGCACTGAACGACATAGCTCCTCGTTTCACCTAATTCCTCCCGTCTCAACTTCAGACATTACACCGACACGGCCTCTATATTAACCTACTCCATCAAGCTACCCCTCGCATACTTCTCGGCTCGGCTAGTTAGGTTTCTCCTCTTTCTCACCCTTCGTTGCCGTTCATTGACTCTTGTTCGATCTTCGCTCCTCGCTCTTTGCTCGCGGTTACGGTCACGGTTCTGTTTCTCCATTTCATCTATCTCATAGCGTTCCGCCTTGTTGTTTCTGCTGCTGCTGCTGTTACTGCTGTTTATCAGAGGGCTTCTTTCTATTGATGGTTCTAGTTACGGATATGTCACCGCTCTACTTCCTTGCAATGTGTAGACCCCTTGCTTCACTCGTTTACCCGCTGCAGTTTTCAACGGCCGTACCCGATCTACTTATCTTTCTATTCAAATAATCCACTAATGAAGGGAGAAAATAAAATCAGCGTTATCACGACTTCTCGTCGTTGCATTATGTGTGTAGTCATAGCTAAAAAAGAAAATGTCGTAGTTAAAATAACTTGCTAATAATCATTAGGCCCATGGAAGTAAACGGTTGGAAGCAGAATGGCCAAATCACCGCCCAAAGCAAGGCAATCAACGACAAGCTTGAGCGTAAAATAGAAGCTGAAAAAGGAGAAAGAGAAAGATGAAAAGAAGTGATAAGAAAGCGTTAACATCCTGAACCACCCGAACTTTTAATCGATCCTTTTGCCTTGCCCATTTCCGTTTTCCCATAGCGAATCCGATGGTATCAAAGGTAGGTAAATGAAGTAAAATCAGCCAAAGTAGAGCAAAAATCAAATCAACCAGGTATGGTAAAAGTGAATAAGAGAGAGAGAAATATTGAAATAAGTAGGAAAAAATAATTTTCTTTCTCTCTCTTTTTTTTTTTTTTGGTCATTTTTTTTTCTTGTCTGTTTAATTGATGAAAGGAAATTGACACGAGAACATGACTTGACATGACTTGATATCAAGTACAGAACATATATAGTATGTAGATGTATGTTAGATGTATGTCAGATGTTTCGTAGGTAAATTCATCGACGATACCTTGATCGTCCAATTTTCGAGATTCTCTTTCTGTTCAACTTCCTTACGTATTTTGCTTCTGCTCCCCCTTTTCTTTTCTGCATGTCTTTTATATACTGACCGTGACGGCCGAGATTTAGATTTCCAGATCCTCGCATACGCTGCTCGAACTAGTTGAGCTGACGCTGCGCTCAAGCTTGGTGGCTGTTGACTTTGCGTCGGAGCGGCCGGTGATTTGTTTTGATGGCTCCCGAGCAAGTTCAGTTGTCTTGGTACATATCCATGTAGAGGCGTACATGTTTACACTGGTAACGTTAGCGAAGACAATAATTAGGATGAAGAGTGAGGAGTAATACGAAAGTAGAGACATACCGATCAATGCAGGCGCCGGGGAATCGAGCACCGACTCTCTTTGTGGTGAAGCCACATTTCTCAAAGACAGCGATGTACCATGGTTCGATACTGGCGGAGCGTAGGAGGATGCGACCGCCTGTCTTGAGAGCGTGGTTGAAGGCCGTTGCTTGTGTTGCTGCGGCCTGGGAGGATGGGTCAAACCAGTCCATGGAGTCCATTACCTAGAAGATGTTAGAGGAGAAGTAGAAGGGTAGGGTATCCCGAGGCGGACTTACGACTGCTATGGTTAGTGTGCCGGGGGTAATGCGGGAGATGACTTCTTGGATCTCGTCTGTGTGAATGCGTAGGCCGTCAAAGGCGCCTGGGGCAGAGAGCTTGGTGTGAGCCTTCTTAGTAAGATAAGTTGGCAGACTCTTCTTTGAGAACTGTCCGGACAAGCAGAGCAGGTAGAAGTAGTTGTCGTCGCTAAGCAGGGTCTCTCTGACGACTGGGTCGAGGGTGTTGACGACGTATTCCCAAACAGCCT